ATCAAATAAATAGCTTTTTCATAGGGGGGTCATTGGGTGTTAGAATATAAATCTTTAATTTTTCTTATTTTTTAATGTGTTTTTTTTTATTATTATTTTTTTCACCCAATTTTTTAACCATTAAACTTTCAAGTACTTTCAATATATTCCTCATAAAGTATCCTCAAAGAAAAGATGTTGAAATGGTCATAAAATTTCAAATAAATAGCTTTTTCATAGGGGAGTCCTTGGGTGGTAAAATACAAATCTTTAATTTTTTTTTATTTTTTCATGAAAATTTTCACCTGCAAACTAACAAAAAGTGCCAATGTGTCCTCCATTATGCATACTACAATATCATAGTTATTTACTCAAATTAAATTAGATTTTTGAATGTTTTTTGGGGGGAGTCAGATTTTCATGGTACACCGGGCCTCTGAGGCCCGGTTTCAGGGTTTACGTAGGGTTCCATTTTCTTGTGGTTGAGGGTTAAACAATGTCACTATTCTTTCTACCAAGATTATTGCATTTTGTGTTTAAGCATGTGCGTAATAAAATGCATGTAAGCAGCCCTGTTTCTCTTTGTTTTCCAGTGGCCTTTTATCCGGTTGTTTGGGCTGCAGGAGCCAGCATCTGTGATATTCTCCATACTGAATGCTCTGGCTCACCTGAACTTGTTCAAGTTTAGAAGAGAAGTGTCGTCCGCCTCCCCCATGTTTTATGCATGGCATCTGTATGCATTGGTAAGCAGCAAGGCTGTCATTTAAATGCTATATATAAAAATTATTAAAAGAAAGATTAGATAAGATTATGATATGATAACAGTGTTGATTGCTGCTAAGGGAAATGGATACTGATTTTTGAAAATTAATTCAGTTTATTTTTGGATTAAGCAAAAAACAACCCCCTTTGTACATTTGCTAGTGTACTGAAGTTTCAGATGTAACTGAAAAGAAGAAATCCAGTTCTGTTAATTTTCTTTTTGTAGTGTGATTAAGACCTTTGTGGAAAAAAGTAAGATGTACCCATTTAAAGATTTTCATAGATTATTATTTTTATTATTATCAGGTGTCAGTTTGGACCTGGTTATGTTCAGCCATGTTTCATGCCAGGGATTGGCCCATTACAGAGGTATTGATATTTATATGTAACTCTATACTAGTGCTGGGGGCCTGTCACTTGATATCTCTGGTCCCATTCAGAATGGATGAGTACTTACTGATCTGCCAACTAAATATGGCTGACCAGAGTTCAAAAGTGATGCAGCTGATTCCTGATGGTCTCCCCAACTCCACAGGTGCCTTTAAACAGATTAAATCTCTACTACGTGGTTTAATTACTAGGCGCCTGTAAAGTCGGGGAGACCATCAGGAATCAGTGGCATCCCTTTTGAACTATGGTCGGCCATATTTAGTTGGTGGATCCGTAAGTACTTGGATCAGCCACTCTGAATGGGGCCTATATACTTGGTGTCATAGGGGCTAATTCCAAAGAGGACTGCTTAGAAAGATTTGTAATCTTTTTGCATAATATCTCAACAGGGGATTGGGGAATTAAAGAGTTTGTGAGCATGTTCAAATTGGCTATGCGTCTAGTGTATATGATGGTTGTGACGTTATCTGTAAATATCTAGATAAAAATCAATCAGTGACCCTGGTAGAGGGGATGGAGTGGATTATGTAATCTTTTTAATGCTTTTTGGACAAAGGGTTGGCCCAGATAAAAGCTTTGGGTTTGCAGAGCGTGATTGGAGTCTTTGAAAATACACAGGCACACACAGGAAGGATTGTTATGATAAGACTGTTATTTGTTTAAGTACTAAATAAAGCTCTACCCAAGAGTCAAATGTACACAATAGCATGCAGAACAAGGGGGTAGCAGAACATTATGTGGTATACAAACATACAAAGGGAAATTGTACATGTTTCCACTCAAATCCCTTAAGTTTGAATTAAAAGTGCTGAAGTCATCGCCACTGATATCAGCCCCAAGGTGTGTTTGACTGTGTTCTTCCTGACCTTGACCTTTGGATCATTTGTAATAAATATTTTGTAAGGAAGGTTTAAATTCTCCTTAGCAGAAGTAGAATATCTTTGATAAACAGAGAATTTCTTGACTAAATAACTTATTTTTGCCATAGAGACTTAGTTATTAGAGTAAAACAAGGCATATATATATATATATATATATATATATATATATATATATATATATATATATATATATATATATAATCACAATATTCTTAGCATAGGAATTTTACAATGTAAGCAAATGTTAAGGCAGGACAGTGACTTTAACCTTTGGTTTATTCCAGAAACTAGACTATTTTAGTGCTGCTTTACTGGTGCTGACACAATTTTATTTACTTCTTCTCAGGTAAGTAGATTGGATTCTGCTCTGAAATTTTAACTTGCTGGTGGTAGGGGGGGGGGTCTTTTTGACTCAGAGTTACAGTTAATTTATCATTTGGCAAACGGGTTCAATGATAATGTTGGCCGGGTGATAAATTTTGTCATGTTAGCCTGACCTCAACAATATGGCAGCTTAAAGGTTCTTTATAAATGTATATCTGTCATTAAAGATGTTGTTGTGTATATAAATAATAAAGAAATAACAACTACCTGGAATAAAATGGAAAAGAAAAAAGTGTCTCTCTACAGAAAGATAAAAGACAACGAAATTTTAGATAAAATGATAAACGTGTTAGATACTTGCAATAAAATAAAGGCAAATCAGACAGAAATTGATCTCTTTGGTCTATTTTCAGGGTTATTGGTACCGAAAAGAAGTTAAAGGTTATAGTCACAGCCCTGCCTTTACTTCTCTTCTATACATATCATGTCCATTACCTGACATACAGACGCTTTGACTATGGCTACAACATGAAGGTTAATATTACCATAGGTGAGTTTTTGCTGTGCTGGAAAATTAATTATCTAGGGTTTAAGTAAGTGAAATATTTTGCCTGAAAGTTAAGGCCAGCTTTTGGTCACAGATTCTTGGGTGAAGAGTTGTTTAGATACAATAATAATACTAACAACAATAGTGATGATGATAATGGATGTTTATTCAACCATTCTGTATCATATATTATTTAAAATATGTAAAACTTAAGTCATTTTACCATTTTAGATAAAAGAAAGAAATGAAATAAAAATTGTTACAAAAAACTAATTAAAATTCTTGGATAATCTAAAGAAGTGACACTTAGATAAGAGCTTTTATAAATTTCTCTAAACTTTTTAAGTCTCATCTTTTGAAGTGTTTTTTTCATCCTCTTTTCAGTTGCAGCCAATGCTATAGGTTGGGTCCTTTGGTGTATTTCCCATAGAAAACAGCAGCCATATGTTTGGAAGTGTCTCGTACCTGTGGTCACGACAGGGGTGCTGGCGGCCCTGGAGTTGGGAGATTTTCCTCCAATATGGTGGACCTTTGATGCCCATTCCCTCTGGCATGCTGGGACGCCTCCCCTTATTGTGCTGTTTTATAGGTATGTTATTACATTACACGTACCTGATATGTTACATTGGCAGATATTGCAGAAAGAGCACATTAAATGGCTGTAGATGTTTTGACCAGACAGATTCAGAGTCAGAGTTCTTTACTGTCTAACTGTAAAGGCAACTGATAGTAGTCTATGACTGGGTTCCCACAGATTTAGATTGATTCATCTGGATAGACCTTACTTCCTGGGGGTTCACATTATATAGTATGATTTTCATTTGGAAAATTGTAGCTATAATAAAAGCACATAGTTGGGTATTATATTATACCCCCTACTTACTACTGTAACATTCATTATGATCTTTCATGTAGGTTTGCAATAGACGACTGCAAGTATTTGGAGGGACAGAAGCAGAGAGAAGCAGCAGTGGATGCAAAGAAAGAAACACCTCTAACAGAAAAGAAAGAGCAGTAAAAGTCCTGTTGGGTGGAGCCTATAGTGCTGCAACAGTAAGATGTGAAAAATACCATTTCAGCAACGACCCACAGCTGAGTGATGCTTAGAGATAAGTAGGACTGTGAAACACATGCCAATACTATGAGAGATGAGGTAGCACTAGCATTTTTTTTCAACTAGCCAAATTGCTTTTTTCATCACTTGTTTCTTCATGTAGTTTAAATTTCAGTACAACAGGTTATATCAACCCTGCTTTGTGAAGCCAGTTTAAGTCAGTTTTAGCATTTGGCAATTTTGTTGAGTGTTAGTGGTACCCTACGAGAGGGTTCAAGAGCAATAATACTAATAGAGGTTGTCACTGACATGGTACATTTAATTCATTTTTATTAACTGAAGCCATTATTGCTGTGATAACCATGCATTAAGAACAAGATTTATCCCTGGCAAAGCTGTGTATTTATGTCTTATGGTGCATGCTAAGTTATGTCAAATAGAATGTGAGATGTTATGTCATTGTATTGCAGTGACGTGATGTCTCTCACACACCAGGCATGATAAATATTTAGAGTCACAGTGCAGAGACGTGAGGATTAAAAGGGCACATGTGCACAAACTGTGATAAAACCATCGCCACAATCAAAAAATTATAGGTCAAACTGTTTTATAGCAACAGAGCTTAGGCAGAGAAACAACAATGTCTTATATGAAAGTGCAAATTTCTTTAATGATGCAGTTAAGGAGTGAATTTCAATTTACACGACATAAACAATAGCACCTAGAAATCAAAACAACTCAATGTAAATTTCTTTAAAATCCAAAAGGTAGTGTTGTAACACCGCCCAGTTGAATTTGTCTCTTAGTGTATTGAAATCTATAAGTCTTTTTTTCTTTTGTGGAATGGAGAGTTTTTGTTTGAGGATTTCTCTTGATTGTAATAGAAGTTACAACAACGTTTCTCGTCCCTTTGCTGTGCACCATGTTCAACATGGTTTCATAGTTGACAGTTTGAGCTGATGTATAGTTCAAACTAATGTCTTTTACCTCACAAACATTCTTTCCATTTTTAGTAATGTAAGCATGATTTTTTTGCTTCAACACAAGAACGGGGCTATGTAATCATTCTGGTTTAGTTCATCGGTAAAGTCGCTCAAATACGACCCTCTTATGGAGTATAAATACCTTTCAGTTTCGGGTTTTCCATCAACGAGAAAAGTGATGGAATCTGTATCAAAGTACAGCACTTTTTCGTTTACAAATTCCAACGCCTTATACAAGACCAGACGTGCATGGGCAGTTGAGTGTGCTGCCATGATTAGTATTGCAGGTTCTAATGTATCCCTTCTTTTTGAGCATATTGGTGGAAGTAACTTTGTTTTTTTATTTTTTTATTTTATTATTTTTTTCCTCAGGTGTCTCACAACCTGCAGGGTATATGCTGGCCCCTTGTTTTAGTTTGAGAAAAGTGTCCATGTACTCAGCAAAAAGAGCACCCTCTTGGCTTTTGGGATTGCCATACTTCGTGGAAACAAACTATGGTGTGCCCTATTGAGACCACCTTCATTTTTAATTTAACAGAAACCCCTGTGCTTGTTAAGCTACATTCTGTACTAGTATGGCAACCTGTTCTTTGTTTACAGTTAGTAGCACACGCTCTACACAGAGTGAACACGCCATAATAAGCTTCTTGGGGTCAATTCTGTCTTGCACCTCTTAATATTTTCTTGCTTTTCTGAGGTTTTGTGCTTCTTTACATACCCACCTTGTGGAATTATAACGGTTGTAGCCGACTTTAGAAAAAGGACTCAATTTACCAAATCACAGGCACTTACTATTGTGATAGCTGAATGAAAATTCTCAATTTTTTGTCCTTTTTGTCCCGTAATATCTACAAAATTGTCTAAATTTTTGTTCTTGATCTCCATATCTTTCACAGATGCTTTCGGAGGTTACCTCGTAATCTAAACAGTAAAGACATACCCTTTGTGCCACAACTAAATTAGCTTCATGCAAACTATTGTTAATCTGCATAGCTTCAAAGTCAAAGAAAATATGTGGCCGTCTTGTACTGTAATTAAGATTTTTCTTTTTTCTTCTTTATGTGTAGAGGTTGATGGTTGTTGATGGTTCTTCTTCAGATATAGAAGACGTGTGCTCGGACTTGTCATTTTCACAAATGTTTTGGAAAATTTTCTGTTTCTTTAAGGGTTGCATGTAGCACAGATAACCTTTTTGCACCTGTGTTTTGCAAATCTGACATTTGTATGAAAAACAAATGTGCATCTTTTTGTTTTGTCTGTTGACAAATTTGTGGCATGCTTCACAAGTAAATAATAACTTTTTTTCTTGAGATGCCCTTTTGCCTTTGTTGCGAGGTGATTGTGATAACACGAAGCAGAGACAAAAAATCTGTTGCACAATCTGCATAGTGTCCAATTTTTGAATTCAACATATTTCCTGCTGAGTTTGTTGAATGCATCATCATAAAAAAGCATTACTGGCAGATGTATAGGTCAACACCATTCGAAAATTGTGGAACCCATCAGTGTTCCCATTTACCGCATATCTATCATCGAAGTTCACATCTTGTCGCCTACTCCCAGTAATTACCTCTTCAATTCAGGGAATCTCTTTTGAACTTTTCCCATTCATCCACTGACATGGGTATCTTGCTTTTAGAAGTGGAATCACTAAAGACCACCAAATTGCTGCATTGTAGGTTTTTTGCAAATGGTTATAAGTTTGCCTCCTTGTAACTTTATAAAAGTTGCTATTTTTTTAGATTTCACAGTATTCAGCAGTGAGTGAAGCTCTTTCAAGTAACACGACCTTAAATTCTCTCCTCTTAGTGCACCAAACATCAATCACTACCCTAAGACTGTATGCTAAGACAATGGGATCAACCAATTGATCTGTAGCATAATGCATGACCATGCAAAAAAACGCACTGAATCAAAAGATTTACAATGAAAAACAGACTGATAAGTATCTTTTCTACATGTGACATTACAATTCAGTCACCGTAAACTGCATTGTATGTTGATTGGAGTTTCGATTCTACAGCTTGAGGGGTCGATGCCTCCTCTTCCGTGATCTCTCCGAAAAACCTCTCTTTACATTTTCCAACACGTAAGATGACGGCCATGACGTACAGGTCGTATTCCTCTTTCATTTGGGCCTGGTAGTGGTCGTAAGCTTTTAGGATGTTGCCTGCTGTGACGAGTTCCAACGCTTGGTCGAACAAGCTAAGGGCAGACACTGCAAAGACAGGCTCCATGCAAGCATGTTGCTTTTGGCTGCCATGACCTATGGCGCTGCCCTCGCACTGCTCAACGGTCAGCTCTCGAATTTAGGATTATAGTGCCCTAACACTCTACACAACAGTCCTTGTTTGTTTTCTTTTATCAAAACACACACTCCACCATTCACACATACACTATAACCTTTGCTACTACATCAACAGCACTTTGTCGCATTCCACTCTACAATGGTCATGGGCTATTTATATCCCTCAGGTTTAGTGCAGATCCACCAGGGTCCAGTACCGTGGCTATAAAACAGTTTGATCTATAATTTTTTAGACATGCTATGGTTTCCTCATAGTTTGCACCAAAGTTTGCACTCAAGTGCCTCTTTACTATTGACATGTATTTTGTAACACTGAATCATCATTGGATGTAAAATGCTTTGTGTAATAATAAGATATATAATCATGACTAGCTACCATATATTGCACTTGAATGGTTTTGCAAGTTAAGTATTATTTGACTATATGAAATATGTCCTTGACTAATCTCGTAAATAATTTAGTTCTGCAGTTTGAACTGTGCCATGACTTTTATGCCATGTAGTGTCTTCGGCATTGGTAGCAACAGGGTAATTTTAGCCATTCTTTTTGGTCAACAACAGAAAATGCACCTGCTTTAGCAGTGGTAAAAATCGAAGACATATTCCTTCATGATCTAATGAATCTGTGTAAGTTGCTTTGAAAATTATTTTGTTTGTTTTGTTTGTAGGACTTCTAGTGATTGCTTTTGACCCTGACCTGTATCTTGGTCTGTATGATATTCTGCATTTACCGTTTCCATTTCAAACATTGAAATAGTATTGCATATGGATGCCCCAATCACTATGACTTTCTCCTCCTCTCCAGAGTCATTCAGTCTAACCCCCTATTTTTAGTTAATCTCTATGAATGACTCTTCTTTTTCTGAGTCAGTCACTAGACTCGCTATGATTGACCCCTCTTCTGAGTCAATCACTATGAATGACTTCTTTTCCATTGTTATACAACGAGCAAAACCAAACCTATTCATACGTACCATTGCGGACAGCGTCTTATTGTAAGGAGAGATTGTATTATTCTTTTTAAAACAAACGGGTTGGTGCCAAGTCTGTTCAATTTATAGTCTTTTCTTTTAAGGAAATAATTGACCTTTAGGTAAACACAATATGGCCTGTGTGTACAAGTGAGACTTCTTCATTCCAAGAAGTTGTGAAATATCTATTATATGTCTCAATAAAACAAGAGTCCATTATGTGACACTGATAAAATTAAACAAAATGCTAAAACTTGCCCGCCTATATTGTAAATTTAAAATTCTGCTCTTCCATTGGAAGGTGTGCAATATCTGTACCTGTCAGCTGACCGAGAGAGGCATCTTTTTTCTTGCCTAGAGCTGCGTAGATTTCTTGGAAGAGCTGTAAGAACGCTAACCAATCAGCATATGTCATCACAATGACCGTGGCAATGGGGGCGCCCTGTTCATAACTGATCTTTATGGGACATCTTGGACCATCTAACGACAATGTGTAACCATTGCAAAAGGGGACTGCTAAAACTTGCTCCTTCAACAAGCACTAGTGGGCTGGATTTGGTCTTAAAGTGCAATTTAAGTTCACAAGTGATCTTACACGATCTTAAACATTACAGCAGTAGTCTTAAAATGGACTGAATCTGCTTTTAAGATCAAAAGTGATCTAACATCTACTTAAGCGGTCAAGCAGTTTCCTCCCCTCACAATGGGGGATACCTCCCCTCACAATAGAGGACACCTCTGCTCACAATAGGAGAATGTTTAAGGGGAGACAACTTAATTGGCTGTTAGACCAGAAATAGTCTTACTCATAGGGACAGCCGGGCTGACGTCACGCGCCTTAGCAACCGACATCTGGGGTAAAACAAATCGGGCAACATGGCGGATCACATTGACTTCTATGTAAAAGTTGGCAGACTTTGTCCGAAGATATCATACTTCACAGTGCCTGACCACTTACGTCAGTGAGGAAGAGTTATTTACCTGGTCGATTTCCTTTACAGGCCTTTGTAATTAGCCGCTAATTACAAAGGCCTGTAAAGGAAATCGACCAGGTAAATAACTCTTCCTCACTGACACAAGTGGCAAGGCACTGTGAAGCATGATATCTTCGGACGAACTCTGCCAACTTTTACATAGAAGTCAATGCGATCCGCCATGTTGCCCGATTTGTTTTACCCCAGATGCCGGTTGCTAAGGTAAAGTGCCCGGATGACCAACTGTCCCTATGGTTTAAGATCATGTAAGACTATTTGTGAACTTAATTTGCACTTTAAGACCAAATCAAGCCCACTAGTGAAGGCCTCTTCAATTCCTTCTGCGTGTCTCTTGAAATGGCCTCACATGGTTAAGTAAAACGGATTTTTTTTTCTGACTTTAGCATGTAGTTTAAATGTATCTTGTCTTATCAAGAACTCTTCATTTGCTCATGGGTAATTTTCTTTTCATCTTTTTGCAACGCTCCATATAATTTTAACACACTTCCAAAACTAGCCGGATTAAAGGGGTCATACTATAATGTCCTTTTTTTTAAAGGCTCAACTGACCAGCTTAAAGCATAAGGACAACATGACTAGTTGTGGAAAAATACAATACTACGATCTTTGAATCGAAAATGTTCTGGAGAGTTTGTAAATGGTAAGTTAAATATACTGGAAATTTATCTTGCAAAAGAAAAAAACAACTACAGATTTACATTTTCATTTATTTTTATTTCTGCTCAAAGATCACCGGCCCTTGTCGTATTCAAGCTAAATCGCAAAAAAAATCGCAAAAAACAACAATGCTGCTCAAGAAAATGTTTTTTGGGGAGATTTTTTTCCAAAACGTAAACAAGATGGCGGCCTACAAATGTACTTGTTATTCGGATACTGAAAGTGCACCTAAGATTTATTCTATCCTATTGCCACAAATTACACCCTGTGCGTGTCCATCTCTGGGAAAAAAAGAATGCTTAATTATGGAGACAAACAAGGCTTTTGAGCTTCTAGCATGGTATAATTATTCTCTATCTACCCGCAATTGACAAATTTACATTCACATATTCTTATATAAAACGTTTTCGCAATCTATGAAACAACATTATATTATGTGGTAAACAAAACTTAACCGGCTAAATTACCAGCTCTGCCTACCCGTCAATAATGCCGTCTAACATCTGTAAAAAGAAAAAATGTTTATTTTTGCTTTGTTGACACTTTTTAAAGTAATCTTGGACAGTTTATATCTTTGTGTATGTTTCCCACTTTAACGCATTATGCTACGAGACATTCTATTAGATATATGAATAAATGTTGTGTTTACCTTTTCGGTGGGGTAACGATAAACGTCACCCTCCATTATTTGGATTGGGTCTTCCGAGTCCCGTAAAAAATGATATAACTTAAAATATTTATCAGAAATACCAAATAAAATATTGAATAAATATGTATGATAAAGCTATGCACAATTGTTTGCATGAATCATTAGAATATATGATGTAAAAGATACTTACGTCCACTCTGAACACCTCAACCATCATATCCTCCGTATAAAAAATTAGTACCAGGTGCTTGCAGCTGACGCAGCGGTAGAGTAAAAATACCATGTTTAGGATGAGAAGTCTGTCAGATTTCTCCGTATCTATACAGCAAAATACAATGACAGTCTTGTATTGCGTCGGAGAATCTTTACAAGGAACGCCGTTGTATAATCATCTTGAAAAAAAAAACTGCCAAACGTTCTGGAAAATCACTTGATCTTTTTAGGCAGTGCATGATAATTTTTTCTAAATCGCATATAGTGTTTTCTAAATAACAGCAGCTAGGACCGACTCTTCTGAGTCAGCCACTACGACCCACTCTTCTTCTGAGTCGTCCGCTATGACTTGATAAAATTTGACTTAAAATGTTAAAACGCACCTCATCTTTCACCTTCTTCTTCATCGTCATCACTGTTCGTTAAATCTATTACCTCGACATCATCTTCTTCGTCGTCGTCGAGGTTTGTGATATCTACGACCTTGACGTCCTCCATTCTAATCGATTCATCATCAGAGTCGAGGTCCATGACTTCGACTTCACCGGTTTCACCATCCGTTAGGACGATGAACTGTTCTATCTGGAAAAAAATGTTTGCTATTGTCACAACAAACTAAGAAAAATTACACTCTAAACTTGACTGGGTTAATTTTGACCCATATTGGGTTATTTTTTTAACCCAGTGCTGGGTTAAAATAGCAGCTACCCAATTTGGTTAAATTTAACCCAGCAAGTTGGGTTAAAATATCAACCCAGCACTTGGGTTATAATTTTGACCCAAATTTGGGTTGTTTTAACCCAAATATTAGGTTATTTTAATTTACCATTGGGTCAACCACCCCTATCATATTGGGTTATTTTTCAACCCAGTGCCTGGTTCAAATAGCACCTACCCAATTTGGGTTAATTTAACCCAGCAAGTTGGGTTAAAATATCAACCCAGCACTTGGGTTATAATTTTGACCCAAATTTGGGTTGTTTTAACCCAAATATTAGGTTATTTAAACTTACCATTGGGTCAACCACCCCTACTAATTTCCCTTTACAAATTACTTAATTCTACTGATTTACAAGCTTCTAAACTGTAAAATGACAAGATTTTTTTTCAAAATACAATTCAACCTTTATTCTGTAATGCAACTACCATAATTTCATACATAAAACCACATGGAAAAATATATGCATGTAAAACTCTGATACATGTAACAACTTCCTTAAATGCTAGTGGAATGATTACGATACACATACATATGTTGCACTACCTGTACAACAAAAACAGAAATGGAAACACAGTTAACCTCAAATTTCTAAGTATACAGTATGAACAAGAACAAATATTATAAAACCTTTTAAAATCTCAATTAAAAAAGTCCACAGTTAACAAAGTCATCACTGCTCATTTTCACTGATTCAGCCGTGCCACTGGTACATGTACATGTAGCTCAGTATTGCCCTCTTACACCAAGTCATTGGAGAAAAATCCACTCAGGGACTTTATAAGTGGAGAAGGTTCACCTTCATCAGAAATCTTGTACACAACATGCTGGAAAAACTCCCACACTGTGAAACATGGTAAAGGGTAGTCAAGGTCCAAGATGTAGAAAGTCTTGAAACAGAGATCTACTGCTTGTAGGAGGGTGTCACACCGTATGGCTCTTTGCTCTATGACAACAAAGGCTTCCACTGGATGACGTGAGTTAGTGCCCATATATGTTTTACATAATTTCACATTATGTTCTGCTCTCTTATTATGAGGAATATATATATATATATATATATATATATATATATATATTCTTTGTTGGTATATTCTTTTACTTCCATGGAACTGGCTCTGGGTTAATTTCGGTATTTCAACGCTCTGGCACACTTTGTGAAGCTGGATCCTCTAAAAAAATCGAGATTTTTATTTTGGTTTAACTTGTTAAAATATTTGTGACTGCTTGGATGACTTTGATAGACCTTGTTGAAGAAATTGAACTATTTTTTTCACCGTGCAAACATTGTTTAAACTAGAATTACAAATTAAATCAAGTTTAATTATGTTAAAACATGAATGCAAAGGTATCACTTACTGATCAATCCAAAATAATTGGATTGCGCTCTGACCCGTAGGGAACTTCCAGTTCCGCCATCAGTAACAATAACAATATTTCCTCCGTACATATGAGGAAAAAATCATTTCTTCCGTCTTCTGTTTCGATGAAGATACGGAAAATAATAATTATTATTTTATTTTTTTTTTGGGGTGAGTAGCTCAGCTAACAAATACCTAACTGTTATTTAGACACTGTGTACAAGTTATTAACCCAGCAGAACGCACTAAACGATGCAGTTCCAAGGCAATGATGCACTAAAACTGTTTTTAATTAATTTAAAAACAATGGAATTACGTGATGTTGCAATGACAGTTAATGTTTAAATTCAGTATGTAGTTCCATTGACATTTGATGTTGAAAAAATACGTAACCCACTAATTGATCATAAAACAATACACTTACGTGTTGTTACGTCACAATTAGTCTTACGTGTTGTAATGTCACAATTACATATCAGGTTCCCAATGGCAATGAACAAAATGAATATGCATTATTACGTCATAATTACATATCAGATCCCATTGGTGAAGGACAAAAATAATCACGCATTGTTACATCATAATTACATAATTGGTCCCCAGATGCCACAATCCAACTAAGGGTAGTGTATCAATGCATTGTAACGTATTATAATTAACATAACATAATGTAATAATGTCATAATGTCTTTGGCAGGAAAATACCACATTTACCCAGAAAAATATGAATACATTTAGCCAACAACATGTTTTAAATTAGGCGTCACTGCTAAAATTTGACTCAAAATGTTAAAACTCACTATTCATTTATTTTCTTCATCTTCCCATTCCTCCCCTTCGTCGATGTTGGTGAGGTCTACGACCTCGATGTTATCATCCATTATAACGCTTTCATCATCTGAATCAAGGTCTGTGACCTCAATTTCTCCAGTTTCATCATCGATGTTGGTGATGTCTACGACCTCGATATTTTCATCTATGA